TTTTAAGCCCGAACGAACCTCAAATTTTTCGGACAAATTATTACCGATTCTAACTTTATTGAGTGTCTCCGTCAAGCACATCCTGACTAGATTTACTAGTTTTTTTGGAATCCCCTGCTCGGTTAGAATATTATACAGTTTCTGGCGGTCAATAGAATCGTAAGCCTTTTTAAAATCTAAATACAGCTGGTGAACAATACCGTTATACTCCAATTTTTTCTCTAATATTTGCCGTAAAGAAAATATTTGATCAATAGTCGAACGATTCCGTCTAAATCCGCATTGGTAGTCTCCGATAATTACCTCGGCGTATTCCGTGATTCGACTGGTTAAGATTACAGTGAATATTTTATAACATACCGGAAGGAGTGAAATTCCTCGATAGTTATTACAATCCGTCCTCGGACCCTTTTTGTGAATCGGAATAAGAATAGATTCTTTCCATTCTTCAGGTAATTTCTCGTTCACCCAGATCTTTTCAACCAAGCGATGTATTTTAGAAACTCCAGCTTCCCCGCATGCCTTAATTGACTGAGTTAGATAGGTAAAAATGTATATGAAAATTTGATTGCCAGCATTAGGACTAGGTTATCTAAGAATAAACTCGAGGGCATCAACTGGAGGTACACCCACTTTCTTAAGAATTTAAAAAATCAAAAGAAATAAATCATTTTTTCCTATCAATAAAAAATCTGGTGCGTGCAAAACACATTTTTTGCTTATAGCTCAACTTTGAATAGAAATTATTTTCTGGTCATGTTTGGCAGTTATAACATTTTTGAATTGCATTTTTAACCGAGGTAAAGCTTAAAGCTTACAGCTAACATAAATACCATTAAAATGGTATTTTAAATACAAATATTCAATAATCAAATTCTTTCAAAAGTTATATTTAGCCTTTTTTGGTAACTCTTAATAATGAGAGATGGTTTATTATTTAAAATAAACCAAATTAAAGATACTTTAGATGAAAACATGTTGAACATTGGGTATTTAAGTAAGCCCGGTAAAGTGACATCAATGGGGATAAGACCTAAACGATTGAAAATTGAAAATATCTCATTCAATCGCCAAAATTTTTATCTTTGCACCTTAAAATAATATTAATAATAATAAAACATAAATAAGAAAAAAGTGGCAAAAACCCTTCAAGTCATCTATGTTTCAGATTAGAGTTTTGAGAGAGATAAAAAATAGTCAGATAATGACAAATGAAGACAGATTACCTCCTTGAAGTCAATCTCCTCCTCTCTTTAATATTGATTAACTAATTTTATATTTCGAAGGTAGGTTGTACCATCGGTTAATTTGGATTTTAAGTTCTATACTTTGTTTATTATGTGCTTCCTTTGAATGACACCCAGGACATATGCCCTACTTGCCACATCCTTATACACCACTGATGTTATTAATCTGTTATATTAGTCTGGTACATCCTCTCAGCATCTTATTTATGATTAATCAATTCCCCTTAAGGCATTGACTGGAAGGCACTCTTGTTTTCTTCTTCGAGTTATATAACACTTTTTCCAAGTACCTAATGTCCTCTCCAAGTTATCATTCCTCCATGATATGAAAACATAGGGTTAAATTCTGCTTACTCCTTACATTACATTCATAATTATAGCTGCTAACTTATCCTATATTCTTAAAAAAATTTCTACAAAATGGATCTCGAAATTCTACTAAAGGATTACACTTAAAATTTCATAAGGTTTTTGGCTCTTAGAAATCCTAATTGGGCCCTCATCTCAGAAGTTATTATATAGGAAAGAAATTAAGCGTGTCAGTGGAAAAACATATTAAGTAAATAATAGAAATCTGTATTATTTGAGAAACTGTTTTGAACATCTCTTATGATTATAAACAGCACATGTTATTGTTGTGTTACTACATTTTTACATATTTCTTATATTAATGTTGGAGGCTTTGGCCAAGTTTGCAATAGAAAATAATCTGTAATGTGATTGATGATCATACAGTTATTTTTATCAACATAGAATGTAATAGTCTTGTATTTTTGTTAGTTGAACGATCCTGAGGATGAACAAGTAGCTCTGATGTGTACTCATTTTTAATCTTAGTATTTTAACTTATAGCTACTGCTTCTTAGCAGCCATTGGCATCCAACTTACTCTTCTTGGGTAGTTATGCAGGTTCCAGTATTTTCCATACAGAAAATGTAAAATTATTGAAAAGCTTGTGTAGCTGAGTATAAAAACTGAGGTAGTGGGTGCAAAAATGGCATTCTAACTCATGTCCTATTTTTATGAAAAACTCATATTTAGCTTCTTTGAATTATCTAAAAAAGAATACCTACTCCACAAAAAATGGTCATTTGTTTCAGAATGAAGTTGCATAATATTTTGCTATGTTAATTTAGAGTGTATTGATTGTCAAGTAGTATGTAAGATTGTTTAAGGTTTGGTCTTTTTGTACATGTGTATTCAAAAAGAGTCTGTGATACAGATATTATACTAAATATTTTACATTTTTGGTAGACACCAATACATTTTTCAGCATAACTGGCTAACAATTATTTTTGAAATATAAAATGAATAAAAAAACTAAATAAAGGATACAAATAAATAAAACAAAAAAGTTTATTCTTTTAATTTTGCCCATTTCCATGGTAAATATTTTGATGTATGCCAATACCAGATCATATTATGTACAGATCTGTGCCTAAATATGTATAGCCATTAAACATCAAATATTAAACCAGTTAGTTAAGATCCTATCTAATTTTTTAATATTCTCAAAGATGTCGCTATATAATGTGTTCACCAGACAAATTAAATCAAACGTTATTGATGAGTTATTTGTTCAAATTGACATGTTTTAATATCATATCTTAACAACAACGGTGAAAAATCAATGTTTCAAATCAGATACTTAAAGAGTAAAGAGCCAAACAGTAATTTTTTTTTTATTCCTATTTTATTTTTACAGATTAAATCAGGTATTTGCAATTAGACTTTAATTTTTAATTATTTTTCATTATTATTATTCTGTAAAAAATAAACAAGAAGAGATAAACAATTACAATTACTTGATATTGATCTTGAAACAAAATCTTTAAATTAAAATTAATACATGGTGGTTGCTTTTAAATAAATTGACATAATTCATAATTTGGAATATGAATATTAAGAATAACCAATAAAAGGACATTAATTTAATTATGAACAATTTCCATATATTTTGTTGATACAACTGAATTGAGTCGTTTGTCTCCATAGTTACTCCTAATCGATTTATTTTGGAAATCAAAATACCTGATTCCAATGTAAAAACATCCAATGAATCTGATGATGTCATTTTTTTTAGAAATATTTAGAAAATGCTATAGAAAATAAATTTATTGTCAAAACAGGCTTTTTTTTTCAAGAAATGTATTGAAATTTACACTTCTTAAATATTTTAAATATATAATTCATCAAAAGCTTTTTTAAACTTTGTGTTCAAATGAAAATTAAAAATTTATTTATTTTATCATACCATTTCTGTAAACCAAAAGTCAAATTATCCATACATATATTATTACAGTAAGGCTCGAAATCGGTTTTGTACCAAATATAAGCTCCTGTCATGCTCAAATACCATGAATGGGGTACCGTTGGGTTCAGGATTTCACGTTGGGTTAGCAAATCCTATTCTCCACTTTTGTTTTTCTTTCTATAATAAATAAAGTCGATACAAACATTTTGCTAGGCTTCAATACCTGAACAGTGGTAGGTCTGTAGATCGATACGGGACAGATTGTATCTAGAAGATTTTGATGCGTACAGCAAGACCCAGATAGTTCCTCCAGAACTATCAGATCCTGCATTTTCATCAAATTAAAATCAAATTCAAAAAAATCATTGAAATCGGACAATTTTTAGCAAAGATATAGCTTACTGAAATTTGTAAACATGTTGGTTCCAAATAAAAATGAAGATTTAAATTAATTTTTGTTTTCTTTGTCGATTATATTTATCGATAAAGTAACATTTGCTTTCTTTATATTTTGATAGGTTGCATTATTTTATTTTCTTATTAATCTGACATTTGATAACAATATGCTGTGTGAATTTTTCGCACAGGCCTACTAGTTGTAGTATAATTTTAATATGTTTTTCTCCTTAAATCATACACATTTTTTTCTTTCCGAACTTAACTGCAATCAATCTTGTTTTCAATAAAACTGTTAGTTTAAAAAATATTGTTTTCACATTTCTTGAAGATTTATCAATAATAATTAGAATTCACTTTGGAAATAAATGACTCAATTAGCTATAATTAAACTAACTATAAATTTTGTTAATAATTATCTTTTATTTAATTTTTTTTTTCTTTTTTTTTTGTTATTTTATTTATGAATTATTTCAGTAGGTACTATCTAAGGAAAACAGTTTTATGTTTCCTATAATTTAATTTTATTGAGAATATATTTTCATCATTGTATTTTAAAAGATCCACATTCTTCGACCAACTTATTCTACAACTGAACATTTATCTGTACTATACTTTTATTTTTTGTTTTGCTTATTCTTCCGTCCAAAGAACACCCAATAAATATATTTATATTTAACAACAATAAGTTGGTTAAAATAAGTAGTAATAATCATTGTCTTCCAGATATTACATCCATAAAATTGCATTAAAGGGAGAACTAAGTCATTTAATTAGAAACTGTTGTTATAACATATAAAATTTACACCAGAGATAACTTCACTAATAACATAAATTATTAACATTTTTTATTTGCTCTAAAAAATGTCAACTTTTGCTCATAATATTTAAATTCAGTTATATTAGATTGGAAATTTTAATAACATTTTCTATTGACTTATGTAAAAAGTCAGCATTAAAATGTTATAAATATTTTACTAATAAAAAGGTTACTGGTAATAATGTAATGTTTCTATGTAAACTCGTCTTAGAAATGGAATAAATATATTTTTAATCATTTCTATAATAGATATATTTAATGCATTTCATTATATTTCAAACATATTTGTTCACAGGGGTGCTTCCTTTGTACCTTAAAAATTCTCTCAAATATAATGAAAATTCGTCAACGATAATCTACCATGTCTTCGTCATGCTATGTTACTTCACTCCAGTCTTTGGTGGCATAATGGCTGATGCCTGGATTGGGAAATACAAGTAAAATTAAATTGAATTGTTTACTTTTATACTTTTAACTTAATAATTATTTATCATCGATGGACCTGTAACCCATGTAACCTATAAACCATGAAATAAATTACATAAACCATATATGTATGTTAGAGACTCATGACTTTGCAGTTTGATTTTTTTCATTTATAACATATATAATTAATTAATACAATTAAATTATATAAATCAGTTAGTAACTTCAAACATAACAAAACATCTATCTTCTGATTGAGGGAACAAACAATTATTTTGATTTATAGAAGTTTCAGATGTGGTTTAGCTAGGTTTAAATGCTGAATATTCAAAAGTTCTTCTTCTAAAGTATGATTATTTTTTTTTATCAGAAATAATAAAAGTATTCCATTGTTAGTAACCATTACTTGGGTTCAGTACAATTTCGAGAAAGTACTGTCTCTAGGTCAATCGTTGTGCAAGAAGGTGCCTGCTTTATAGAGGCCCCAGGTGTGCCCCAGGAAGATCCCCCAATCCCAAGCAGAGGAAGCTCAGCACCCTACAACTGAGCTGCCACATTTCACTTTCCATTGTTAGTAGTAATACAAAATAGATAAATATAAAGCAAGAAAGAAGTTGGTAATCAACTAAAGGAGAATATTTTCATAAGTAGAAAACAAATTTCTGGAAATAACAGTAGTAATAAAAGCATATGATAAATATTTTAGATAAATGAATATATAGCTTATTAAGCCAGCTAATGGAGAGTGATAAAAAGCTTTTAAATGTTGTAGTTAATGTCTACTTTTATAGTATTGAATGGAAAATAAATGTTTTTAACAATTAAATAAACATTAAAACTAAATGAAATTTCCACAGGAAATACATAGAAAAGAATTTCTTTTTTTTCATCTTAACATAATCAAAAAACAGAGTGCACAGAGTTGTCATAATTTATATTAATTGTATTTATAATTAAAGTAATATTCTTAAGGTTTATTAGTTTTTATTTAAAAAATAATTTCTACTGAAAGCAGGGCGGTAAGTGAAAGCTGAGTCACGAATCACAACAGATTTTTAATAATTGTTTAAAGATTTTATTTAGATATAAAAATGAATTTTTATGACTGAATTTCATTTCTTCTATATTTTAAATATAAATTCAGGTAAAATTTCAGTTACCTGTTTTAAATTTGGTAATATATTCAATGTGTTCTTATCCTGATGGTTTGTTCTTTCTGTGAATTTTCTCTCTTCCCCTCACTCCTTCCCCCCTCTCCAGAAAAGTAAAAGAAATTTGGTAACAAAAAATCTTTTCTAGTTTGATTGCCTATGAATACCTGTTCAGAACAGAAAAGAACCAGATATTTTTGTAAAACTCAGCAAGATGTTTATTAACAGCTGATAAAGATCTAATTGCTAAACTTTTTCACAAAAATCTTACAAAAAAAAAAAAAAAAAAAAAAAAAACCTGTACCATTACAACTCATGAAGGGTCTTGGGTTCAGTACTATTTAGGGAAAGTACTGTTTCAAGGCTTCAATCGGTTGTGGAAGGAGGGGATTGGGCCAGGATCACGCTCAACCACCAAGTTTTCCCCGTTAATCAATTACTTAATTAAGGGTACCCATTTTATAGAGGCTGGGTGTGCCCCAGGTGGGTCTCCCTACCACAGGGTCGTCCCACGTCCAATGAAACAGAATAAATAAATTTTCTGCCATGAGCCAGGATTCAAATCTGGGACCTTCAGCATTGGAAGCTTAGTGCCCTACCACTGAGCTACTCCGCTCCCTTACAAACATGTTATACACTTGCTAATAATCCAATAAATATTGTGATTAAACTATGTTGAGTTAATCCATCTTATTCTAGATAATTAATTAATTTTCCCACAATGTAATCATCTTTTATCTCCATATAGTAGAAATCTGAAGCATTGTGTAAAACATTATATTTCAATGTACATAAATACTGTGGAAAGCATTTTATATATATATATATATATATATATACTTTTTTTTTCAGGACAATTTTATATGTTTCATTGCTCTATGCAGCTGGTAACATTGTGCTCTCAGTAGGATCTGTAGAAGGTCTGACACTTCCACACAAGTATGTTTCAATCTCTTAAATAATGTCAAAATAAACAACATAGTTATAGTTTTTATAATATTTTAAAATAGAGTCTTCAAGTTTTATAAAATAAAGATTATAAATCCTACCTTAGTAAAAGCGGTAGGATCCTGGAGAAGTTGGAAAGTATTGAACAAGTCAGCTATGGTCTTAGGCTTTGTCGATGAGCCATCGCCATCCATTGAGTCATTTTTCCTCATTTTAACATGCTCAAGGCCTTATGAGTTCTCTATTTACCTAACTCGAAAGTATCAATATAATTGGGATATCTTGTGGAGTAACGAGGCTTCCTCAGCCTACAAAGAAAGGTTGTAAATATGAGTTTTCCTATAAATGAAGGACAAAATTGATGGACAAGGACAGTATTGCTGGTAGGCAACAAAACAATCTATATAATGGTCAGTACACCTTTCAGAGAATCGCAGGTGGATCTACGGGAGGAAGAGGCTTTCGGGCTGAAGCCCTTCCCTCCCCTCTCCCCCCTTCCCCCACAAAAAAAATGTTAAAACATAACCACGTCTTATGAAATAAATTTAAAAAACATATCTATAAAAGTATTATTGTCAGTGTAATTATATTTAATAGAACATCAAGAATCAATTAAACATCACTTCATATAGGTGATTGGTTAGTTTCTTTCTTTTTTTACAACAGTACTAATCCTTATTTATAAAAAAACCTTTTGCGCTGAAGCCCAGCCCTCCTCCCGAATTCAATTCTGGATCCGCTGATGTAGAGTCAAAGAATTGATCTATTTCGGAACTCATGTGAACTGTAGAGACAACATTAACCCCAGAATCTATTGGTAAATAAAAGCTGCAAACAATTACTACTATGAACTGAAGAGGAACCATAAGAGAGCAGAATTCTATTTAAGACCATTAAAGTTTGAGTACCGAGTAATGTTTATTTTACTCAGGTTCCTATCAAAGTACCAAAGAGTATAATCACTGATCAAATGAAGTAGTAATGGCATTTAATAGTAATTAATCTCTGGATGAACCTAGGCTACACTTGGCTGACAGAATAGCAAATGAGGCTGGGTTTACCCAGGGCATCTGGAACTGGAAGGCAATATCACAGCAAAGATGAGAACAGTGGCTGATGTTGCATGAGGTCTTACCTCCTATAGCACATAGCATCAGTTAAGTAAGAGTCTGGAGATAAATATTACTTTTGTAATAATTATATTACTTCTTGCTGAATACAAACTCATCCAGTACACTGAAAAGTATTTTTATATATATATAGATATTTCCTTAGGTCTAAAATGTTTATAGCACCACTGGTAGTCATTACTAATGCCATAACTGGGAGTGAAGCGATATAAATATTGTAAATTGGTATGAATGTAGCTAAGATGAATTATTTTAATTTTTTTTTATAAATGGTTTGTATACATCTATAGATCTAACAACTAAAAACTCAACTTTTAGCCTTGAGCCAATCAGAATGTATTTTTTTGTTTCAATGAAAGTAAAAATGTGTACAATTCTACACATTTAAGAACTATATGTGTTTTTCTTGTACATCCTTCCCATCCTAAAACAGGGTTTCCTCTTAAGGCAGAAAATATTTGGTCTTGTTTCTTATACTCAGTATAACTGTGTTTTGTTTTCCTCATTTTTTCTGCAACCCTGTGTAAAGGGTCATTTAAACTAACGTACTCAAACCAATCAAATCAGACCAGATATCCCAAAAGTCCAAAACCGATCTATTCTCTGTATACATAATGGTAGTCCTGATTCTCCCACTTTTCCGTTTTATTTTTAACTTTTCAGAAGGGATCATTTTTTTATTTCAAGTATGATTTTATATTTTAATGAAATATATAACAATCATGGCCTGATATTTTCAGAGAATTATCACTGCTTGGGCTGTTTATGATTGCGGTGGGAACTGGTGGAATAAAACCTTGTGTCTCATCGTTTGGTGGTGACCAGTTTGTAATTCCTCAACAAGAACGAGAGCTTCAAAGATTCTTTTCAGTATTTTATTTCTCAATAAATGCTGGAAGTGTGATTTCTTCCTTTTTAACACCAATGCTTCGACAATATCATTGTTTGGGTAGTGATACAGATTGTTATCCACTGGCATTTGGCCTTCCAGCTGCACTTATGGTAGCTGCAGTCAGTAAGTAGAAAAAAACTTTCAGTATCATCACATTACACCGTTAATTACTGAACCCTAAAAATGGTACATAATACCATAGTTTTAATAAAATGTTAATCAACATTTATTTTTTAAATGTTAGTTTTCTTTGTCCTTGGAAGCCCGATGTATAAAAATATCAAACCTCAAGGTAACATCGTATTAGATGTTGGTGGTTGTGTAGGGGTAAGTAAATATAGTTTCTTAATTCAATTATTTTGATAAAAAAAAATCTTCTATAATCGTTATAATGTGATCTTTATATTTTATTGCAGCATGCTGTAGTTAGAAAAATAAAGTCAAAAGAAAAGAAAAATAATTGGTTAGACTATGCAGATGATAAATATGATTCTAAATTGATAGCTGATATAAAGGTTCTGATGAGTCTAATAGTTCTATTTTCTCCAACAATTGTCTTTTGGGCTTTATATGAACAGCAGGTATGTTTAAATGTAAATGTAAATCTCCAAGTAAAAATTGTATATGTTATAAAATTAATAGCCACCAATAGCAAAAGAATATGTAAGAGCTGTTAATTAATTATAACATTTATAATTTATAATTGTGATAATACAGTTACAAAACAATTAAAATTTCAGCTAAGTTTTAGTTACCTTACTACTCCACAAATGCTCCAACACGAAGGATGGACACAAGATCTCTTGATCAGACTATAGATGGAAATCCAAGAATAGCCTATAAATTGGTGTGTTCATGAGTATTCCCTTTATATTGTTTGCAATTTACAATTAACAGAAACTATCAACAGGTCTTTTTCAGTTAAAATCAGGGCTTTAATTAGATTGTTTTTGTCAACTTCTCACTCAAAAGGCATAAACAAACCCCCTAACGGTCCTTTTCAGTTGAGAATAGGGCCCATCAACCCTGTCTACTTTTGGACATATTCTGAAATTTTCAGAATTTCATATACTGAGTAATCATGAGATGTTGTGCACTTCCATCATGGTGGAATATGATTTGCTAAGTAGTACTTTATTAACTAATAAATAGTAATTTTAATACAAAATACATTGCTTAATCAATTTTCAAATTAAATATTATATTTTTTGTTTTGTTAATACAGGGAGACAAATGGACATTTCAAGCAAGTCGCATGAATGGAGATTTAGGCTGGTATACAATTATTCCAGATCAAATGCAAACCCTCAATGCTGTACTTGTACTCGTATTTATTCCTCTTTTTGAATATATTGTTTACCCTATTTTGGCAAAAATGAGATTAGTTAGGACATCGCTTCAAAAGTTGATATGGGGTGGTTTTCTTGCTGCAATTGCCTTTGTAGTTTCTGGTATTCTAGAGCTAAAAATAAAGGTAATGTTTATTTTAAAAAGTAAAGAATATAGTCTTAGTATTTAAGAGATATACTGTCCTTTGAATATATTATATTCAATATATATATATATAATGTATAAATATATATATATAATGAATATGGAATATATTATACTTTGAAGAAAATTATAATTTAATTTCTTTTTAATAGGAAAATGAGCCTTTATTACCCAGCAGTGGCCAATCAGAATTATTGCTGTATAATACTTTTAACTGTCCTGCTAAAGTTGATGGAATTGGCAATACTATAAACATAAATCCTTTAGGTTTTACTGACATTAATGGGATACCTGCGAAGTCTACAAATATTACCATTACATCTGAATGTGCTGGTTCTTGGTCTGGCAACATTGAATTACAGGATGAAGAGGTATCCAGACATTTTATTAAATTGTTTGAAATATTTGAACATTACAAACTCTCGAATTGAATAAATATTAAATGCCCTAAGTGAAAAAATACTTAAGAATATAAATTTATGTTTTGTTTCATAAAAGATCTGATTCATTTATTATAATATAATCAATATTTATGTGTAACAATCTTCAAACAGCACAACAGGTGCATGAAGTTGCTGTTAGCCAGCTTAACATCTGCCAACCATTTATTTCTATCCTAGAATGAACGGCAGAGATTCTCAGTAGTCAAAGATTTTCTTCCATCCCTGACTTCCATCGGCCTTCGATCTGCCAAAAAGATGCACAGCATTTGAGAATAGGCACTCTTTCATCCCTCATCCTCATCACATGTCCTAGCCATTCAGTTTATAAATTTTGATATTACAGGAGATGCTATATTCCTTGTAGAATTCACTATTTTTTTTTTCCTGGTGACTTTTTTGGGGGATTTCAATATCATCTACGTCAAGGGAATCAGTATTTGAGGCTGTAATGGCCGAGAATGTCGAGGTGTCATAGGCTTAGCTACCTTGTAGTGGTTGATTTAGTCAGGATCATGTTAAACCGCCATATTAAGTAAATACTCTCATTTTATAGAGCCAGAGTGTGCCCCAGTAGGGTCTCTCGGTCTCAGGGTCATTCCACGGCTGATATAGCCAAATAAATAATTTTCTTAAATATTCCAAATGATTGGAGCACTGTGTCTGTCTCATTGAACTACCCTGATCCTTTTTTTTTTCACCCTACCTGGCACTGCTGCCATACGGTGTTTTGGCAACAGTGGGTTTATACGTTAGGGTTCTCGTATACCCACTGCTACCAATAAAAAACACTTCATTGATCAATTTTATTTGTTTTTTTCGTTTAAAATAATTTTGGATAATTTAATTTGAGAAACAAAACGGTACACGGTTGTGCACTTTAATGATGGGGTCACCTTTGCCCGCACCTTATCCGTCCAGTCCTTTCTCAATGTGCTTCCTCTTCTCCCACCTCCTCGGGTGATGGAACTCTTGCTACTCCCAGAGAAATGAGCAGGGCCCGTCATATCTCTCCACCCATACACAAACTCCCGAAGAAATGGGTAGTTCCTCTTTTCAACCAGGCGTGGGAAATCCTCCTCAGTGAGGGTATACCTGCCTATCCCTTTCATCAATTTTGCACGGTATATCTCTGTTGTGGTGCAGGATACCAATATATGGTCTGCTGTTTCAGGGACTTTGCAGGAAGGGCACCGTCTGTCGATATTCTTTCCCCGGAACCCTCCATGTCCTGTGAGATCCAGTAATCAGGGAGGACCCATGTCGCATTTAATCTTGCCTGGACGGTGGAGAAGAACTTCCTGAGGGTAGACCCTTTCAGGCATGTCACCTACCGTCTGTTCCACTCACAACAGACTCCTCCCTGATAATCCTTTTCCACTTGATTGGATTCTCATCGATTCTCTCAGGGAGCCGCTCCAATAGCATCTCCAGCCTCAATCTCTTGAAATGGAACTTGATTGTATTCTCTTTGAGGATTAGTTCCAGGGGCATCATTCTGGCTAGCACCTACAGCTACCCATCATGACTCGCTTGTAGATGACCCTCGTGGCTGGGTACCTAAGGTCCCAAAAATCACCCCCTATCCTTGTCAGGCCATTCAATAACAGGATCATTCTATTCTCAGATGTTCAATCTGGGGAGAGACGTTGAACTTCATCTTAAACCTCACGTCTAGGTAGGTAACCCGACTCTGAGACTGATAGGGTGAGCTCTATCTGTGGAGCCTTTCAGCAACATGGCCAGAGTCTGTTCTTCATTCTGTCGGTATCCTGGCCATCTTCAATCTGTTCTTTCCACACCATCCTTTGACTATGGTCGCTGTCATAATAATCTCACCCTGCTGGTTGCTGCCATAACAACAGCCAGGTCCTCCACATATGCTAGGGCATCAAAGCCCGCTACTACCAATTCCCTCAGCAATTGGTCGAACTCCAACTTCCACTGGGCCGCCCTGAGAACTGAGTCCTGCGGGCATCCTCTTTCAATTTCTCGCTCGACCTCATAGAAGGTATCCCTCATCTTAACTCTCCTGTCACTGAGAGAACTCCTAATGAGGGAGTAAAAGTTGTTGGGGCTATCGAACTGCTAAAGGCGCTGGAATTATCCTGATCCATCATTAAGAATTAGAAAATGTATTAAAAAATTTTTTTCTTTTAGGTGTCTTCTTACTTAATTCTAAAAGAAACTAACATAACCACATTTTTGTTAAATCAAAAGGGAAGTAGTGAAATGTTGAAATCAGACAGTACATCTCCTAAACTAAAGTAAGTGATACCCTTTCATATAATAAAGTTTCTTACTTGATATAATAATATTTATAAAAATAAAGAAAATACAGTTTCATTAGGTTATTTATTTTAATAGTGGATTGATGGTTGACTGTAGTGAATAATTGAAGAGAAGTTGGTTGGGGTGTTCATTTAAAAATCAATATCATTAATTTATTTTAATTTGTTTTATTTTTACCGAATACTCCAACCAACTTCTCTTCATTTATTTATTTTAGATGAATACCAGATTATAAATGGGATTCATTAATAAAAAGTAATGATACAGATTATAAAAATTCTAAGTTGACGCATTCCAACTAGAGTTGCCTTTTCATGTCAGGGCTGAACTCCAGAAGCCATGGTTAAGCCAATCCTCATCTTGAAGACCCCAGCCAGTCTCCTCTTCCACTTCATGCATTCACCTTTTTCTGGGTCATCGATATTAATGTTTAATTGAAAAATATTTTTAACTTGACAAAGGGAAAATAAAAGGTGAATTAATTCAGTTTCATAATAATTTGAAATATGAGTGCAGCCAGAATTTAACTTCAGAGGGACCTAATAATTTCATAATCCTAAAAACTTTTCCTTTCGGTTTGATTTTGATATGTTAACTCAGTTATAGATCATAAGTACAGGCTCTCAACTCATATATGAGTTTTCCATTCATGCAATACTTCATGGTGTTTCTCTGCTGATTTGTGTACTTCCATAAATTTTTACTTTATTTATTAGTGAAGATTAGGTTACAACAATAAAAAACGCACAAAGACCTGGATTTTTCTGATGCATATTTGCAAAGATTATTAGAATTAAAGAAAAATAGTGAGGATGGAGCTACATCACAAGAGTGGAGACATGGCAAGTCATGAGCTGCCAGCATCTTGCTCTTATGTATAACTGGGTAATGTAACATTCAAGAATAAAGATTTAAGACTTTGTTTCCAGTATCTTGAAGATTCTAAAATGCTTTAAAATGAATAATCTGTAATCTAAAGCCCCTTTGATTGTCCAGAATGGTTGTAAACATTCTAGAACATCCAGGCCAGCAGCAACAGTAAGAATATTTACTCAATTTCCAGCTGCTACACTAACTTTCCATAACAAATCCATTTGTGCAACTCCATTTTTTAATAATCCAGTCCCTACAGTTCTAAGCCAAGAACTTGGTTACCATACTATAAACATCCATCAGGCTGTGAGGTTGAGTTGCAGAGTTTCAGAAACATACATGGACACACCATGCTTATCTTTATTATATTTATAGATTATTTTGGATGCAGTTATTTTTATAAATAAAAAATGTAACAAAAGGTTTAAGTTATATGTATTTCATCACCTTTTTTTTTTATTTGTTCTTTTCTACACTGGCAACATTTTGGCTATACCGCCATCTTTACATATAGCTCAAACCTTTTATTATGAATTATATTTTGACCTTAAACAAAAAAATATATTAAAAAATTAATCCCACTAAATTTCAGGATACTGTATAGTGGATCAAACCAACTTTCAATACTTATGAAAAATACAGACAATATTATGAATATTGTTGTTGAAAGTGGAAAACATCAGAGTAAAATGAATGATATGCCTTTAAGTGGAAAGCAAGTATTATTTAACTTTAAACATTTATAAAAATTAAATTAATTTAGGCTAATATGATACTAATAGTTTTTGTAGATGTGATTGATTACACATACATAAATACTCATTTCTGGATGTAACACAACCTTTTGACCAGCAACAATTTGTTGGCTTACTATTTCAATTTCAAATTTAACCCAATCCTTAAATTTAGTCCTTTGATAGTTTTGGGGTAACATTCTTTTATTTCTTCACAATCATATTTCTACAACTTTTCAATCTGACCATTCTATTATCCCAATCAGATCCTATGATCATTCAGTCCTCATAGCTTCTTAGGCTCAATGGCAGTTTTCTCTAATTGAGCAGGGGTGCAATAGTCAATATGTTAAAGTCAGTGAAACAAAATTTGAGTATATTGATTTCACTCTCCAATGCAAATCTTGTCTCCTATTTCTTTCGAATTCCATTTAGCTTCTATTTCTAGATATATCTTGGCTTCCTAGAAGAAAAAGATTACCATGTACTACGTTTCCGGCTTACGTCTTTTCTAAGGAGGATAGGGGTCTCAGAAACCACATTTATTTGTATTTAATATTTATATTGATTTCAGAAGGGAACTGATCAACTTAAAAATATATAATTATTTAAAGGTTAGATACCACAGAACCCTCACAGTAATATACTAGATTGAAGTTTAATTTTCTATTGGATATCTTCTCAAAAGGTGTTATGTTTACAATTTACTATTTGTAACTATGCTGGTATATATGCTAAAGAATTAACATTTAACCAAAAATGTAATCTATACATAATTTTAAAAAAGAAAAAAATATATATGTACTATCAATATTGAAGAATGCTAGATGAGGACTGATTGAAAAAAATATTAAGCTATTGATTATCAAACAGGTTTACAAGGTAATTTCTAAATCAATGTTATGGACTTAGCTAGTTGTATGGTGGAGTCTTTAGCTATTTTTTTCCTGGTATCTGGTGTCGCCGTTATTTTGAGGTCTATTATTGATTCTCTCTTCCCCTGGACCATCATCCCCGAGGAAGCCTCCAAGTCTGCTTCACTCGAGTCCTGCTTGCCAGCGCTGACCCTTTATTCCTCCAGAGTAGAGGGTCTGTACCTATAGCTGTTTCAAACTCTGTGTCCCCCTTGTGCTGCCGTCAACCACTCACTTACTTCAACTGTTCTCCTCCCTATATATAGGAACTCCTAGCTTTGGCTCCTCCTTACTTTTTCTCTCTACCAATAGATTTTTCAGTTCTCTTTCTAGTGGTTTCTATAATTTGTAGTAGGTAGGGACTTCACCTGTCATTTGTTCCCCTTTTTGTTTATTCGATTTTAACATTATGCTAATGGAATCCATTAGCTTTTATTACATCCTAGCATTGGCCGAAAACCTTATCTCAGCAGCAGGGGGTCGCTAATGTCGCCCAGGTAGACTGACCCTGTCTTATTTGTTGCAGATATCCAGAAGTCCTCTCGGAGGCATGTGCATTAGTGTTTATGGCACCCATAAATAGACAATGCTCCGACCAGCCGCAAAGGTCTTGAACCCTACCTGACGCTGACTATACCTGAGTAACTTTTGTCGATGCCTATCTTTCTCAGTCCATATATATTAAATATTTAAACATATTTTAATTCTAGCCTCTACAATACGCAGCACAAGGAATATACACGCTAGATTTAAAAGACAATACCTTCAACAGTGACATGACAATCTAAACAGAAAGTCTTGTCTTGCATTTGATAACAAATTACTAATTTACAAGATTATTCTAAGATCTATTTGGGATTCAACTTATTTCAATTAATTTTACAAAGCCATTAAATTTTCTCTGGTGTGCGTAATTTTTCATTTGTTTTACATACAACAATAAGAGGAAAATATAATTTCAGTGAAGGAGCTCAACTGCTTGCGCTTTTCTTAATTTTATTACTACATACAGGGTGTCCCATAAGTAGAGGGAAATATTGATAGTTAAAAAATATTGATAGTAGACACCAAGATCTACAAAATGTGTTTTTAGGCAACAATGTTTAATACAATCCCCCTCTCATATTACTGAAAGATAAGAAATAAAAGCATTGTAACAGTTAATTGCAGTCATTTCTGCTGAAAACATGGGTTCTTTTAGAAAATCACATCATTTCTTTACACGACTTGAAGTGAATCTCAAAATTTTTCCTAATAAACCTCAACTTATGGAATATGAGCTTAAAGTTTATTATAGTATAGTTTATGTATGATAAAAAAAAAAATATAAATAATTTATGATTTTTTTTTAAACAGAACTTATTTCAGTTCAGCCACTCAATATCTCTCTTTAAATGGATTTAATAATGAAAAACTATACTTTCAACCACTAGCAGATCCAGGATTCCATTTTGGGGTGCTTCAGCCTGAAAGCTTTTTTTTTTAAATATAACGATAATTACTTTGGAAGAAAAAGAAAGAATCTAACTACCTATACGAAATGGTGTTTAAGTGATTCTTGAAGTCCTGTCAAATGTAATTTCTTGACTTTTGATTCAGCTTTCAGCACAAGGCCTTCACCTCCCCGTAGATTTGCCTGTACTTTCAATAATAGTAAATTTAATCTAATTTACTGTAGAGCACCTATTATTTACTTAAATTAAATATTTTTGTATTTATCGCTTTATATTCAACAAAAACGTGGCCCACTTAAAAAATCACAAATCTTAAATTTCCTACTTTTCTGTTGGGAATTGGGCCATTATTTATAGGAACTTTTATGTAGATCTTGATGTCTACTATCAACTTTTTAAATATTTCCCTCTACAAACGGGACATCGTGTATATATACATATTTTATTGTATACACTTCATGAATGCTTGTACAGATCATCATTAATTATTCACTTAAATGTGGCAGATTGTTTATACTTGACACTTTAAAAAAAAAGTTAACAATTCTTTTTTACTTTCACTTACCTATATATAGTAAGGGTAAGTATTGCGGTCATAAAAATTTTTGAATCTGAGTGTTCAACGGAAATAAACGTTTTGAGGTCTTCTGAGTCCAAATAACCAGGTCCCACAAAATGGTCTGTGTGTGTGAGTATGTATGTGAACATCCTACCTCAAAAAGTCGTATGGAATTAAAATTGCGTATTTGAAGTTTATATAAGCCTTGGATGTTATAGCAACATGTTTGTCAAACCGGAAGTGGTACTTTATATAATCAATAAAACACATTTTTTCAGATATTCTATCACTGTCAATGGCAAACAGATTGAAGATGTCTATTTAAGCCAAGGAGGAGTTTATATTTTAATGTTAGAAGATGGAGCAAATGCTATGGTTTGTAGACTAAATATAAATTGTTTCTAATTCATATAATACCCAATAAATGTATGATTTGATAACTCTACTTTCTTTCAGGTAAGCCAATTGCTGATAATTGTCCAACCTAACTCAATAAATATGCTTTGGCAAATACCACAGTACATAATCATAACTGCCGCTGAGATAATGTTTTCTATAACAGGGATTGAGTTTTCATACAGTGAGGTAAGGATATAACAGGGACATTTAATATTTATTTTGCCATGTCGGTTGAAACCTAAACATTATTCAACAAATATTTCATGGTGATTATGAGTGGAAAGGTCTTGGTAAATATTTTAATTTGTGAACATAAAAATTCAAGTCTCAGATGATTATAAAACTTTTAACTCTTTAGCTCTATTTGGAAGAGCCATAGAAAGGGCAAATCCTTAAAAAAACTGGGAAAAACAGAAAATTTTGAGAATGAGAGAAAAATGTTGAGCTTTGAGAGTAGGACTGTAGTGGTGTGCATAACTTTTAACACATAACAGAAAAAACACTAGGTAATGCTGATTTTTTAAATGAATTTAAAAACACTCTTATGTTATTGTTCTGCTTAGGAAACAACATTTCATATAAAAAATCAGTGCATTTGACCGAAAGAGGACCATTGAAAGTGCCAAAATGTAGCAGGAAAAAAAACAAGCTAGAACTTCAGTCAATACACATAAAACTGTATTTTAGCTATGTTTTAAGACTTCATTTTTCTTATCTACATGCCTTAAAATGAAAAAATAGATTTACAGACAATTTTCAGAAGATATATTTTAAATACTAAAATGATTAACAATTATCACTTTGACTACTGAAATATTACAACTAAATCAAGTAAAAGGGGAGTTAGGGACTAAATTATATTTACAATTTTTGAAAATTAAGAATCACTCCATTGGCTACTACATAAATGATAAATTAAAGCTTACACATTACTACAACTTTCGGGTTCTAATTATATACTGATGGAGTATGAGAAAATGGAGAGGAGGGGAGTTGGACAGCAATAATAGTTGTTTTGTTTTTCCAGACCTTGATTTTCTCAGATGAGTAAGTAGCAATTATAAGGTTTGAGCAGTTGTGTATAAGTTTTAATTTATTGTTTATTAAGAGTTCAATTGGGTGATTCATAATTTTCCAAAATTATAAGCACAATTTAGTCACTAATTTCCTTTTATTTAATTTAGTCATAGTATTCCCATAGCTAGAATGTATTCTAATTGTTAGTCATTTAATAATGATTTTCAAACAAGTTGTCAATAAACCAATTTTTTTTTCATTATAAGGGATGGACATGAGAATCTTATAATCTTGAAACCTATAATATTATATTGAAATATTGAAAATAATATTATATTAATTAAGACTGACAAGCAGAGACCAAGTATGTATATGAATACGAAGGGAATTTTATTGACTGATGAAAAGGCTTGCATGGAGGAATGAGAGAAATATTTTGAGGTCCTACTGAACAGAGGGGAAGAAAGAAAAGAGTATCTTTTGGAATATTTGATTTAAAAAGGCCAATTGGAACCACCTGAAGAAGAGGAAGTGGGGTAGGCAATTAGTCCCTAGAAAAATCATAAGGATCCTGGCATTGACTCATTCCTGTGGAATTGCTTAAGCAGGAATCAATGGAACTAGTGAAGAGCTTACACAATAAGCAACTAGATCAATGAAATATTAGCTGGTGACTGCAGAAAAACAGTGATCTGTCCCAAGCACAAAAAGGGAGACATGTTTAGATGCACTAATTATAGAGAAATATCTCTGCTTCTCTATGCATTTAAAGTACTTTCGAATATCTTATTTTGCCACCTTCTCCAATTGTTGAATGGAAGACTGGTCATTACCAATGTGGATTCAGACAGGTCAGTTCTAGCACGGACCAGATTTTTAGCCTCCATATTATACTAGAAAAAGGAAGGGAGTACAATGTGACCACACATCATCTCTTAATTGATTTATATCAGCATATTATAGCATTCATCAAAAAGAGCTTTATAAGCTCTTTTTGGTTATGACCTAACTGTTCCACCAATCTCATAAGACTAATCAGGCTTATCATCACAGTGGGCACTATGACCCATTTGCAGTCTATGCCTCCTCTAAAATCCTTTGGTAGTTGGCTGTTTTTTGCAGCAGCTCTCCAGTTTCAGGTGCCAAGAAGTCCGCAACGGCACAGTCCACCAATCTCACGTTAGACTGACCATCTCTCCATTTACCGTGAAACTCATCGGTCAAAATCTTCTTTGTCATTCTCCATCCTCACCAAGTGGTCGGCCTATCAAAGTCTCACAAGCTTAATAAACTTGACAACGTCGATATCATTATACAATGCATAAAGTTCTTCCTTCTTCTCCAGGTTTTTCCGCTCTAACCAGGCCAAAATTCTCCTCAGTATTTTCCTTTCAAATATTAACAGTCTCGTCTCATCGGATTTGGTGGAGGCTCATGCTTCTGACACATATGTAAGAACAGAGTGCACCAAGGTCTTATACCGACTGTTCTTTGTTTGTTGTTGATCTTGTGTACCTGCTCCTAAAATGCTTTGCTACACTAAATTAACAACGGTGGGCTGCAGCAATCCTCCAGCAGATTTCTACAGTGACGTTTTTTAAAAAAATTTTAAAAGAAAGTTTGATTCGCTTAAAGAGAAATGCCTGTTGTATTGTCAATACTTAATTTTTAAAGATGATTCTGCTCCATGCCACCGAACCAAATCAGTGAATACTTATATATATTGATTAAAACCAACTTGAAATTCTCAGATACTTTTCTTTTCATGCTTGTGTTCTTGACAGATAATTCAGTTTTTATCAAGCAATGGGATTTCAACGCTATCATGGCGAGAAAACAGCCCCAATTTAAACACTATAAAAATCAATTAACGCAGTTAAATCTACAAAACAAAAAAAAAACCTGTACCACTACAAACTATGAAGGGTCTTGGGTTTAGTACTATCTAGGGAAAGCACTGTTTCTTGATCTACGGTAGTGCAAGGAGGTGATTTGACTGAGAGCACGCTCAACCGCCTCAAAATTATATTTCTATATTTTTTATTTCATTTCACAGATTTTCTGTGTTTTTTATTTAGATTATTTGCTTCTCAATAAATTAATTATTTTTTTTGTTTACATGGTTAAACAAATATATGTATGGTATATATATTTACAGAGCATTTGTTAAAAACATGTATTTTATGTTCATTCTAGGAAAAATAAACTTTTTAATGGGTGATGCAATTTCTGTGACCACGACTGTATATACATATAATTTAACGCATCCTTAAAACCCACCATATTATTTTTATATAAAACATGATATTAAAAAAAATCACAATAAGTTCATATCACCATATTGATTAAATATAACAATATGCTATATAATTTAACAGTACAGTCAATTCACATAATTTCTTATTATTCAAAAATATTCTATTCCCAATTATTTCTTCTAATGTGTCATGTAAAATGCTACACTCCATTTATTTTCAGAGTCCAGAAAGTATGAGGTCAGTGATATCTTCATTATGGTTGTTGACTGACTCTTTTGGCAATATTATTGTCCTTGTGATAGCTGGATTTAAAATGGCTAACGAGGTAATTTATGAATAGTGTTATATTTTTTAGCTAACAAAACATATGAATAAATCAGATATATTAATAACCATAATTTATAACCTTATATTGGCAATGGTAATGAATCACAATTGCAATTTAGAACCATAGTTATCTATAAAACCTTTGATTTCATAAATCAAAAATTAAAAGATCCAAAATAGAAATACAGAGAGTACTACTCAAACAGCTGTGATAAAAGTAATGTTTAGTCTAAAAGCAGTTATATATGGAATTATGGAGGACTTATTTTTATAGACAAACTATAAAATAAGGATAAAAATTGAAAGTTGGATACTGCAAACTATCAGATAACAAGTCAATAAGGAGAATTTGTTAAAAATCTTCAAATTGTTACAACAACCATGTAAGGCACACCAGGCCGACCTGGTAATAAATAAATTAAAAAAAATAAATAAATAAGGAGAAGGAAGAATAAACCTGCTAAACACTCATAAGTGTAAATCAAATGAATAGTGTCGAGATTGATAAAACTAACATACTTTACAAATAACTCCTTTCATCAGAACATCAAACCCAATTGGTCACCCTTAATATGTGTGTCTACAGCATACTAAGAAGAGTTGTGGAGAACCTTTTTATCTTGATGTGTCAAAATTTTGAAGAACCTTGTTTGAATTTTGGTGCTATACATACAAATATTCATTTTTTTTTTAAGAGTTTTTTAAAATTAAAAATGGACCTTAATTTCCACTTGTGTTTATGAAGTGACGGCACAAACTAATTTTCATACCATTTGGAGATGTTCAGTTTGCTTGAAAAAGAAATCATTCCAATCATTATTTTTCCTCTTTTCTTCTTCCTGCATTTAAGAAGTTAGCACCACTTTACAGGACCACAGACTGTTTTAAAATAGTGTGCTAGCAGTCATATTTAACACATTCCTTAAATAAGTTCCTCGTCATTAACACATTTACAATACTTAGCACTGGTTGCATGAATAACACAAGTGCCTTAGAGCGGTTTAGTAACGCTTTTCGAAACGTTGACATTTAATGATTTGTCTCTAGTCTGTATATTTTATCAACTAATAAAATACACGGATATTGAAAAGATCTGTAAATTTGAATTGATGAAGACATGTATAAATAAGTGCTTTGAAGTATATCTGTTAAAGGACATAAAATAAGTGACATGTTCTAATAACAGTAAATAATTAAACATTTTAAATTGTTTTACTTCACTTTATTTAAGGAAATTTCAAGGTTAAACATTTACTAAGAATTTAGTATATAAATCTCTCTTCTTTATATATATATATATATATATATACATCTCTTTTATATATATACATATATATGTATATATATAGAAGAGATGTATATATATTATATATTCTATATAAGAGATATATAAATATGTATATATATATAATTATATATTATATATATAATTAAATATAACAATATGCTTTATATACTTTATATATATAATTCTATATAAGAGATATATAAATATATATATATTCTATATATATATATATATATATATATATATATATATATATATATATATATATATATATGTGTGTGTGTGTGTGTGTATATATGTATATGAATGGTTGAAGCACAAATCATATCTAGTGAAAACCCTTTAAGAAACTAGATCTTCAATAAATATATGAGCATTCTATTTTTAATGTATTGATATTTTGCAGGCAATTGAAATGTTTATATATGCTGTATTAATGGCAGTCACCATGTTAGTCTTCATATACCTAGCAAGGCGATACACAATTTCCAAGAAAAAAGCTCTAGAATTAGAAGAAGATAGCATAGTACTAGAAGAACAAACTAAGATATAACTCAAACTAGGTAACTCAGAAATCTGGGAAATCACTGATGACAGCTGTAATAATTTCAGCAATATTAGCTTTAGTTTGTTAAAGCTATAATAGGTTAGGAGCTTATGCTCTTCTATTGTAATTTAAAACTGTACATAAGTGGTAATTTTAAAGATTGTGTATTTAAATGTTCAGGAGAGTGTTATTTTTAAATGAGTGGAACAAGTTGATTAAAAGATCTATTAAAAATAAGTAGGGAACAAATTGTAAATGTACTTAATGTGAGTGTGTATGAATATTTTGTCTTCGTGTCAGTATTATTAGAAAAATAGTTTCAATTTTTAGTCCATAAGTAGAAATAATAGTTTAATAAGATTATTAAACATTCCTATGTTGTTGTTTTTTTTTCTAAGTGCCTGAAGAATATAATGGAACAAATTACTGCCAAATTTGAAAAAGTTAGATTTAATTATTAATTAAATTTCCTAACATTTCAATTTATTTCTTTGGTATGCTCAATTTATCCATAACATAGGCGTGAAATTGCTTTTATGTTTAAAAACATATATTTATAGAAGTTCATTGTTACTAACTGGTAATTCACTGGAAAGTATCAATCCTTCCAAGCATAGATGTGATTAAAACAAATACTGAGTGAATTCGTAGAATGTCAGTTTTCATCAGTAAGATAATGGCATGGAAGAATTATGGAAAGGGGAGAGGGAGTTGTCCTAGATGTACAACTAAATCTATTCTAACCAGAGTGGAAAGGACGAGATTTATTTTGTGGGACCACCACAAAATTAATTTCAATTCGCTCAAGCCTAAGTTAAACCGGCCTCGCTAGACTCAAGAATGTTAAAGTTTATGCTTTAATACATTTGGTCATTATGATCTCACCTAAACAAATTTGAGTTAATTATTGGATTTTCAATCACATCCAAATAGAACATGTGCTTATTATTATTTGATATTTTTCTTTGAGATATTATGTTCCTAATGAATCAATGTAATGAAGTTTAAATAGGTTTATGGAAAAGTAAAGTTTTTTTACTGTTCAAATTAACAGCACTGATTCTGTAAATGTTCCATTAGAGACTAAAATATATAGTATTTTACAATTTATAAGCCTTATTCATAAAAGCTGCCGAAAGATGTAAAATAAAAATTAATAAAAACTTTATTTCATTATTTTTATTGAAAATTACTAAAATAAATCATCAGTTTATTGCAAAAAGTTACTAATTACATTTTTGTTGGAGCTGAACTTGGTTTTTGTGAATTCCTACCTTATCAATTGATAAAACAATACACAGTAAGTGCACTGAAATGGCACGAAATCTTTTATATATCAAATACAGTTAGGAAAAGAGCACAATTTCCTTATATCATAAATAAACAATTCATCAGAGTTCTTAGTTATTTAAAGCTATGAAATGTCATTAAATAACTTTTTGCAATAAACCAGCAAAATATATTAACTATTAAAATAACCTTTAAAAATTCACAACACAATGACTATTAATATTAGTTGTCAGCTGGGCTGAGAATATAACTGATGAGCTGATAATAAATGTATTTTATCTGAGCATATATGTTTGTCAACCCTAGTCCCCATCACTTACTTTAACTTAATATACCTTAATAGATTAAGGTTTAAAAGATCACAAATACTCCTTCAAACACATTTTGCACAAAAAAAGTATTTTGTGATGTTAATGAAGTATATCCAATATGTTGTTTTAATATTCAATATTAAATATTAAAACTAATCTTAGTAAAGGACATTTCATAAATTATTATCTTAAACATGCACTGCCATCATGAGTAGTAAACTGCATGGTATTTTAAAATGTTTGTTATTGTGATTTTTAATTTAGAAATTTTGAATAAAGCTGAAAAGTTTAAAAAAATGTTCTTGTTAAAAATGATTTTATTTGTGAAATGAGTTTGAGGGAGTATTTGTCGTCTATTAAACCCTTTTAAATTAAAAAAAAAATGTTTAATTTAAAAAATATAATTGGATTTCACAGAGATAGAGTCATATGTTCACCAAAGTAAGTAAATAAAATTCAACTATCACCACCCTTTCCAGAAAAATCATTTAGCGTTTTGGAAGTTAAGCCGTTTCAATGATCCATGATCAGAGACAGGTCGTGGCATGTTAAAAATAGATAATATAAAAATACTAGCTATCAACATAAAATATAATTTATAAGTACATATCACATAAAAAAAGAAACAATATAAATATTTGCTATGATGACAAATCATAATTAAAATATAACTTAAAACAAGCTTTATATATTGGTAATAAATGCATTATATTCATAATACTCAATATTTTGCAAGTGCCAAATTGCCAAGTATTGCATATAAAAAATATAGATATATCTTTTCTCTCATGTTTTACACAAGAATATTATCAAAATCAGGAGTGCCAGCCTGGTATGACTGAAGAAACCTAGCATGTTGTTCTGGTGTGCAATAATGACTCTTAACGGCAGGATCTTCTAACATTCCCTTTGACCACTGAAACTGAAATTTAAAAAAAATATTAATATAAATTTAATATTTTGAAAAAAAAAATGTTTAGCCAACAAAGAAATCATTTTTAAATTAATTATAATTAACATAACTAAAAAACGTCTGCCAAGTAAGGTCAGTATAGCTTCCTCAACATTGGCTAAAAATATCTATGTTACAAGGTTTAACATTTTTCGTATGAGAATAAAATTGCTGTGAGAAGCGGTTTTCGGAAATTCAGTAATCCCGAAACATATACGGGTTTGATTACATGAGTTTTGTACATTGAATACTAAAATGTGAAAGAGTTCTGTATTTGCAGATTGCATATTTGATGATTCGTGATTAAAAAAATATTCCAGTGCATACTGAACATTAATACCACTACTATTTGTGCAAAAGACCGTATGTAAAAATTGAATATTTTACAGGAGAGCATAAGAACTAACTATTATGATTTATTAGTAAAATTTAATATTTTATTGCTCTCTGCTATTTTCTACCATAGTATGCTTATATCAGTTGCAGACTACAAAATGTCACCTTTAGCATAAATAGAAATGAAAGTTGAAAACATTTACATATGATCTTTTGCACTGACAGTAGTGATTTATACTTCTACTATATATACTTATATAGGAAAAATCCATTTTAGACTCCACCGTCAACCACATCTTCTCACTCCGGATAATTATTGAGAAGTCAAGGGATAGAGTCTGTACTTGGTGTTCCTGGACTTAAAGACAACATTCGATTCCGTCCCCAGAGAGGAAATGTGGACAGTTTTAGTCACTAAAAATGTTCTCGCAGAATTAATTAGTGCCATAAACCATACCTACCATGAGTCTAAAGGAGTAGTTAGAATTAACGGACAGCTGATGCCTTCGCCATGAGAAGAGGTGTTAAACAGGGCGACAGCCTTAATCTTCTCCTGTTCATAATATTTATGGATGAAATATTGAGAATATGAAAGCAGAGGACAACTTGGATGGTAGTGGGAAGGTGGGACATAAGGGCAATCATTACTCAAGTGATGGTTTTCGCAGATGATATTGTCCTCATTACCGATTCCAAAGAAAATCTGCAGCAGGTAGTTACTGAGAGGGAGGCTGAGCAAGAAAGAAAGGGCATGATATTAAATGTTGGAAATAGCAAGGTGATGCACATTGGTAATGAAGAGGAGGCAGTTTTGGTTCGCTGCGGAGGAGAAATCTTGGAGACAGCATAGGAGTACATTTATCTCGGAGAAATGCTCAGCAGAAAATGGAACGGGAAAATGGACCAAGAGCTCTCAAACAGCATTAAAAAAGCTACCAGCAATGCAGCACAGAGATGGGAAAAAGGGAATTGGAAAAAAGTATAAAATTACACATCTTTAAGGCCATATACTTACCTACCTGGAAGTGAGAGCTGGGTCCCGCTGGACAGGCACTGGAGTAGAGCTACTGCTGCAGAAATGAAGAACCTCCGGAGAATAGCAGGCAAAACAAGGAGAGACAGAGTGAGGAATGAAAGAATACGAGGAGACCTGGGAGTGCCAGCTTTGAGGGAAACAATTGAAAAGAGGCAATTGGGATGGTTTGGTCATCTATGCAGAATGGATGAGGATTGTGATCAAAAAAGATTTTTGAGGCCAGATCTACCAGACGCCGTCCTTGAGGAAGATCGAGATTGTTATGGATGAACCATAATTCTCATATTATATCACGGTCAACCATCTCTATAAGATTTTTAAATATTTATAGTTTTATAAAACATTTTATGGTTTTTTAAAAGTTTACGAAATTTCTTAAAAAAAAAAAAAAATCGTTAAAATCAGACAATTAGGAGGAAAGATATAATCTCTAGATTTTTTTTTATGTTCTGCTGCAAATCCTTTGTTTTGGATTTTTATTTTTGAATGTGTTACTGAAGTAGTGCTATTTTTTTTTTAGCTAATAAATAATGATAAAAAAAAAATGTCTAGGCAAATAATTGGTATTAACTTTTTATTTCTTTTAATTTGTTACTAGAAAGGTAATGTTACTTTATATGTATAATTGTTGGGAAATAATAAACCATTGTGAAATAATTTGCAGTGTTTTTTCTGACATTAAAAATTAATTTCTTAGCCATAAGACATTGGGTATAATATTATGAAGTAATGCCTTAACGGCTAAGTGGGCTCAAATTTAAGTAACTCTCATGTTGCAGTTGCGAGCATCACAGAAGAAATGTGAGTTATTTTGATAAGTATAAGTGAATGAAACTCTTTCTTTTTTTGCCATTTAATTGTTAATTACTTAACAATTCATTTATTACTGTCAATGTTTTGAGGCCATATCTTATCTCCAGGACATTTAATACTATTGAACTGCTATTTATAAATCGCTCCTCATTAATCATTCCATCAACTTTTGTCATATTAATTTTGTAAGGTCACCTACAATATTCAAGGTGGAGAGCGTCTAGAGATTGACCTGAATGTCATCTTACTATCAATCTCCTGTTCATGGTTCTTAGTTCTTGCTAAGTATATGCTCTCATTCTAGCGCAGTCTTTTAAATGTAGGTTCTGTCCCTTATTCTACATTAACAGCTAAAATGTGTTTCACAGCTTTTCATGATTTCATTTATGAGAAGAAAAGAATAATTAGAATGGAAATAGTAACCATATCATACATGAAATAAATGCCAAGTTCGAATTTTATTTTGATGATCCTTGTTTTAATGTTGGAGATTTTTGTTAAGCACCGATGTGAACATTTTGATTTCAACATTTTAAGTTCAATTTAGTACGCAGCTCTTTTAGGAACTTAACAGCATGCCTTTTTTAATATTGCAATAAATCATAAATTACAAAAAAAAAACTTGTACCACTACAACCCATGAAGGATCTTGGGTTCAGTAGTATTTAGGAAAAGCACTGTTTTGTGGTCAACGGTTGTACAAGAAGGAGGTCTGACCGAGATTACGCCCAACCGCTAAGTTTTTTCCCTTTAAACTAATTATTTAATCAAGAATACCCAATTCATCAAGGCTGGGTGTGCCCCAGAAGGATCACCCAACCCAACACGGCCGATGAAACAGAATAAATAATTTAACGGTCAAGAGCTGGAATTCGAATCTGGCATCTTGAGTATTGGAAACTAAGCACACTACCACTGAGCTACCCCACTCTCCATAAATTAGGAACAATAATAATTTTCAGAAATTTCAAACTACATTTAAACTATCACAGTAGGGGACAGAAGAGGGAGGTTTGGGCGAGCAGACCTTCAGTCCCACCAGTTGACAAATATTTCTGGCATTTTTTATTTATAGTTCAAATCAGACGCTATTAATGATATTGCTTAAGACTGTTTTCGATAGTTCAGTTAACTATCTTTCTTTTTCACTGAGTTAATTTAGGTTCAATTAGTTTTATGTTGGTTAAAATTTCATTGAAAAAATGGCTATGATCAAACCTTCGAAATACATAAACAAGTTATACATAGTCTATAAAATAACCTTTCTGGTATCCCGCCTCTCCAATTTTTTTTTTTCATTTTGTATCATTTTTTATATTCTTTAAAAAAATAATCAACAAATTTTGTGCAGCTTTGTGCTAAGCGCTGTTTTTTAAATTATTTCAGAAAATGTAGTCAAAAGTTCTGGGATCAAATTTTTTGATTTTATGAAACATTATGAATTATATATTAAAACTAATACAGGTTTGAAAGATAAAGTAGCTCTACTTGCATAAAAAATAAATGAGTGTTGCATATATGCTCAGAAAATAATTTATCTTTTTATTTAGAGCAATATGCCATAGCTGCAGCATATTTTATATACCTGATAATAATTGATAAAAGCCACCAGTATTCTCGAGGTTTCGAGGGAACAGGGAGACCGAATAATGTTTTTCTCATTACTTCGAATAACTAATGAGCAGAAATTACAAGATATAACAAAGTAGGGGTACCCAGAAGGGGATGCATGACACAAGTCACGCCAAAAAAGTTTTGAGGGAGCAAATATTTGCAAACTGTGTAGACAAGGAAGGAAATAAAAGTGAAATTTAAATTGCAGTTTGGAAGCGATTATGAGGGACTTCAGCCAGAGAGTGAGATTTCTAATGATGTTGATTATAAGATTGCAGAAATAGATTAAATTAATTTGAATTTCTCCATACTGGTTTCCTTTTTATTAATTTTTTATGTTATTGTTTAGGAATTACAATTTTAAATTTCAATTTTCTTAAAAGTTAAATTTATATTGATTTAATCAGGACTACAGAAGTCATATTTTTATTTATGTGTGACAAATACAGGATTTTCACTTGAAAACTATCCTCAATGAATTTTGTCCTAGATCAGCCCCACTGTACAATATTGGCCAAAAATAATTAGGCCAATTTCCTACTTTTCTGTTGAGAATTTCTGTTGAGCCATTACTTATAGGAACTTTTATGTAGATCTTGATGTCTACTATCAACTTTTTAAATATTTCCCTCTACTAACGGGACACCATGTATATATACATATTTTATAGTATGTACCTCATGAATGATTGTACAGATCATTATTAATCATTCACTTAAATGTGCAGATTGTTTATACTTGACACTTTTAAAAAAAGTTAACTAATTATTTTTTACTTTCACTTACCTATATATGTAATATATAGTAAGGCTAAGTATTGTGATCGTGAAAATTTTCGAATCTGAGTTTTCAACGAAAATACATGTTTTGAGGTCTCCTGAGTCCAAATAACTAATCCCCACAAACTGGAGACAAAAACCTTGTCTCTGTGTGTATGAATTTAAACAGCCTAGCTCAAAAACAAAAAGTAGTACGAAACTGAAATTGCATATTTACAGCAACTTTTTTGTCAAAATCACCTAACCAGAAATGGCCCTGTATAGAATCAATTAAACATATTTTTAAGATTTCCTCAAAAACGGCTCAAACGATTTTATTCAAACTCGGTGTATGAATGTGTAATTAAGTAGTCTTTGATATCATTTAGATCTTATGCCCTTAATAGGGTTTAAATGCCTTATGTTCCAAATGTCTTCTTCTTAAGTACTTTTAATTTGGTTTATTTTAAATAATTAACTATCTCACATTGTTCGGAGTAATGGGAAAAGGCTAAATATAACTTTGAAAGAATTAGCTAATTGAAAAAAGGAGAATAAAGGAAAAATGTTTATTTAGGTTAAAAACCAAACTCCAGAAATAATAGTCAGAAGATATACGTACAATGTCTAGTTGGAAAGTGGAGGATTTATGAAAAACAATATCTAATATAGAAAGTCCTAGAAGGTATTGGAGAGTGACGAAAAAATTATAAATAATAATTTGAGGAAACCAATATCGTTTAAAAAAAATCATATGTTTCCAAGGAAATTAAATTAAATTTCAAGACTAAATGTAAACTTTTAAAATTATTTTTAAGTTTGAAAAAGTATATAAAATCATCAAAATCAATGCAATGACATTGTTGAAAAACATTTTGTTGTACTTGTGTGAAAGAAGAAGTGAAATATAAAATATTTCATGGATGTTTAAAATCTTTAAACATTAATAACTCTAGATCTTATTTTATATTTAAATAATTAGGCACACATCGTCAATTTATTTTTTTAAAAAATTCCCTTTGTGTAATCACAATGTTATCCACTTACAATTAGTGTGAAGACTTTTGACCTTTCGATGTTGTACTTAAAAGCAAGTAGCTGTATTTTGGTAAATTTTTCAAGAGTAAAAAATAAGAACTTAAATACATGTTAAAAGTGATAGAGATTTAATAACTATAATTTTTACTATATAGTACGATTCTTATTTATTCATAATTAAATAAAGGTTCTTTCAAATCTCTCCTGGTCTATAGAGCTCAGAGACTGGAGTTTTTCAAATAGACTAGTGATTCAAATAGACTGATGCAGTTAGGTTTTTATGGCCTACAATCGATATAATAAATAGAGTTTATGATATTTTGATGGTCTTAATGAGTTTTAGTATTGATGAATATGACCAAAATTCAAACATATGTTGTTTAAGGTTTAGCTGCATTAAAAATGCACTTCAAAAATTTCTTGCTTTTTGAAGTAGAGCAGTAAGTGAAAGTTGTGTGATCGGCACACCAGAATTTTATATATTTTTATAGTTCCTTTTATTCTTATGCTATACATTTTATTTTTAAAACATCATATAAATTTATTAAAATGAGTTAGTAACTGAGTGGCTAACTGGATAATTTTTTTCACTTCCAATCGAATGGTGACCATACATGTGTCAAATTCTTGTTTTCATGAATTTTTGAGTTTTCAAAGATATAATTTATAAGAAGGAAGTCATTAGCAGTTTCTTTTAACCTCTTGAAAAGTTGAGAGAATTGAGTTGGGTGGTGTTAGAATTTATATGACAAAATATTGTAAACAGTAACCCATCTATAATTTACATTGAATAAAAACATAAAAAAATACATCCCACTACCAGACACATATTGGGAACTCCTGAGCTACACTGTTAACTTACTTACATAAACTCCCACACATACCCTTTTACGAAACTTGGTCATATGGAGTCAGAGGGATCTCAAAATCTGTATTTTAGTTGAAAATTCAGATTAGAAATTTTCTATGTTTGCAATACATTCTCTAGTAAGTAAAATATATGTGTTTATATATTATTATATAGGTAAATGGAATTAAAATAAAGAATTTTCTTACCATTCTTTGAAAGCGTTCCTTAGGTACTTTGAACTGATCTCCCCCAAGAACTCTCACCATTTCTAGACGTTCACACCAGGGCCAAATCATATAATCCACCATTCCAGGCTCATCACCTTGAACAAAGAAGTAATAAATAAAAATTAGAAACATATTTTACACAATATTCTGTTTAAAATAACTTAAATTGACAATTTACCTTTAATCATTATTACCTTTGAATTGAATTTATGGTCCAAAAGTAGTACAAATTTTTTATATGAAACATTAAGATTTCAAAATTTTAAATATATTATCTTTATATAAGACCCTTCATAAAAATATATATATTTTTTTTTAATAACAATAAAAGGCTTAGTGAACCCGAGAGAATGTTTAAGAAACATGAAATCAGAGATAGGCATAACTGTAATCATAGATAATATTTATAATAAAAAAAAGAGAGATTACTTGAGTATGCGATTATGATTGAGCCCAATAGGAAACCAGTCTCCATAATACCACAAACAATAATAACAAACAGCGAACAACTGATTCAATTCACAACATTCAAAACATTTATGGTCATGAGCACAATATTTCCATATAACAACAAATACAAAGAGACTTGGCATGCACCAGATGGAAAAAAAACACAATCAAATGCTCCATTTTCATTTTGACCAAAGGCATTGTAGTTGTGTATTGGATGTTTCAGAGAGGTGTGCATAGGTTTAAATCACAATCCAATTGTGATAGAACTGATTTATATTGTCCTAATTTTAACAATATAAATTGTAATAATTTTAATTAAAGAATAATGAAATTAAATAAAGATTTTAAAAAATCTTCACAATCTGGATATAAATATTTGTCAAGTTAAATAAAGTAATCCAGAAATATACAATTCTTTTTTTATCTTTTAATCATTTAATTGAACTTACAGACATAAGTAGTAAAATTACTTTAATTTTTTTATTTAGTTTTTTTTAATGTTAAAACATGATAAGTATTCATTTATAGAATAAATTTTTTATTTCATCTCAAGCCATGGCCCTTGAGACTTAGTGGAGAATACAATGCGGTCGACGGGACATAGTAGAGGTTTCGATGTGGCCTGAGTGAAAAAAGTATGAAGACCTCTGTTTTGGATGATAAATATTTGAAAAAAAAAATTATGACTCATCCATAATTTTAAGAAAAACAGAATAATTTTTTTTTTTCTTGAATACTCAATGGTTGAGTGTAGTACAAAATTGAGGAAAGATTCTTTAATTGTAGCTTGATATTACAGGATTGAAATTTAATTTTACAAAAAAGACGTCTTCCTGTATATTCCATTCATTTTTCACTTTTGCGCAACCGGTTTCGGTATTTTATCAGACCAACTGATGGTGGTCCTCCTCTCTTGCTTGTTAAATGAGGAAAGAGATGGTCCGGTCACGGCTGCCACAAACAAACCAACCTAAAATAGTGAAAACTAATTTATTTATTTAATAAGCCAACGTTTCAATTCAACTGTGCAGGTGTTTATCAGGGGTAGAACAACTAAGATACAAAGGTTATAGAAAACTGTAGAAGTTACAAGATATTCAGACAAAAATGTAAGAAAATTTATGTAGTTTTTATTTACTCTGTAAATTTTCTTAATTTTTTGTCTAAATAACTTGTAACTCCTTCAGTTTTCTATAACCTTTGTATCTTGTCCGTTCTAGCACTCATGAATACCAGTATAGTTGGATAGAAACGGCATACATAAAATAGTTTTCACTATTTTAAGTATTTTTTTTATGACCACCATCCTGGACTATCTCTTTCTTCACTTTTTTAGTTATCGTTTCCCATTCAACAAAAAAAACATGATGTAATGAAGAAAGAAACAATTAAAATTTTCTACAAGAAATTGAAGCACGGTTTTTGAAGCTCTTAAAGTCTACAATCATCTCTTTAAATATTTCCTTGAATATTTTTACTTAAAAAAGAATATTAAATTACCTGAAAAATAAGGTGTACCCCTTTTGGCAAGTTCTTTCTCAAAATGGTCCATTTCTTCCAGAATTGGAGCTAAATGCAGTGCATCCATTACAGGATTAATATATAATTTATAAAGCAGGTTTATGACCTAAAGACAATTTCATAATTGGTGAAATAAACATATGTAAAAGTTCGACAAAAACACTTAATCATGAGACAATAAAAGGAGTAGACATTGGTATGACTTTTATCATTATGATTGAAGAGTCGAGTGGACAAAGGTGATAAGTGACATATCTACAGTTCCGAGAAAATTTAATTCTAAGTTTGGCATTGGTACATTTTTTTTTTTAAAGCTTATATTTAATTTATAAGAGCTGTTTGAATGGTAAAAAAAATCTCCTGATTTTGTGATGAAAAAAAAAATTAAATATATTAAGTCTATGGTCTGGCAACATTTTAAAAGGAAAATCCGTTGCTCTGTTTTCACAATGAGCTGTTTGTGGAGGTTGCAAAGAATATTAATCTTAGATTTGTGTAAATGAAATTTAGATTGAGAAAATTAATGATGCCACGACTAATGGATTCTGTGGAAAAAAATGACTTATCCGTAATTGGAAAACCAGAAGATGGGAAGTATGAAGGCGGAGTAGACAAATGTAGTGAAGCGATCTGTATGGAGTCGGAGATATGGTCAAGTTAGGGTAGAGCCTGAGGTGTGGATCTGTTAACTTGGATTCTGGTGCTGAGTTTGTATCTTGTTGTTGTTGGTCTTATATTTTTTTGTGACATATTGAATACTTGATGGTTGACCGTGGTATATTATTGAGTAAGAAGATGGTCCTGGGTGGCTGGCAATCTTCTTACTCAATAATATACCACGGTCAATCACCAAGTATTCAATTAAGTCTATAATTATTAATTTATTTTAATGCACTAAATGCTTATCTATGTCTGTGAAGCATTTTAGGTCCAAACATGTTTATTAGTATTTTCATTTTATGTAAGAAATGAGGTTTTCTTGAAAAATATTTAATGAAGTGCAAATCATAGACAATTTTTATTTTCAAAAATAAAACAAATATATAATAAAAAATTACATTTGCTAATTTTTTTTTCATATTTCTCTATGATATTTTTGAAAACCCACTTAAGTTCCTAACTGGCATACTTGGCTATCCCACAAGTTTACACCTTTCTCCTCAATTAGGCTGCTATTAAATTACTTCAAAGGATTTATTTTTAGTTATTGAATATTGATTGTATTGCAACATCTGTTATCTCTTACCAATGAAACTTTCTTGGATTCAGTCGTTGGATATCTCTCTTTGAACTAAAAACTTCCTAATACATCTAAACTTGTCTACTTTTTAATAATAATAAAAAACAGCACATTATTACTGTCTATTTTTTTTTTAAATTTTGGAGATACTTTTAACTAGCTGTACTTATTACCCCACAATATTTATAAGGAATATTGAACATTTCTGTAATGTTAAATAATTCCAGTACGATTTGGATTTTCCAAAAAAAAATATCTATATTTTTTTGTTACTATAAATGCTAAATGTATAATTATTTCACTCCTGCAAGTCATTTTTTTTTTTAGAAAAACATTGAACAAAACTTCAATAGATGCTTATCCAAATTTTTGCATCGAATCATAGACAAGCAGATTGATTGAATTGGCGACTTCATTGATAAAGAAGCAACTTGTCCATTGATAAAGTTCATAGGTGCCCTTATCAACCACTAAAGGGCAAACCTGTACTGTCACCTGACACCATTATCAACTCAGTTCTGAGCCAACTATTGAATGTATAGGACTGGAAGAGAGAAATATTGAATCACTTAATAGCTTTACCCATAATAAAAATTCAATTTTTTCAAAAATGTCATGTATCACCTCTGTTCTTTTGATCCTTCAATTTCATTAAGTTAGAAGAAGGCGAGAACAAAAATTGATCCTTTAAAACTACCATAATCACAGTTATTTAATTTTCTAAAAGGTTACATGATTTTTCGGAATAAACGGACGATAGATGCCTAAATATTTAAATATAATATCAGATCTAGAGTTATTATATTTAAATATATTTAATAAAATATATCTAAATATTAAATATATTTAAGGTAATAAACGTATCTATGAAATATTTTTATAATCCACTTCTTCTTTCACACAAGTACAATGAAATAGTAGTGGATACTGTTGGAATATCACAAAGGGAAGATCCATCAAATTATTCACTAACTTAATTTTCTAAAAAGTAACATCAGAATAAACGGACTAGATCTAGAATTATTAAACTACAGTAAATGTATTTAAGGTTATAAACATATCCTTTATACATCCATGAAATGATTTTATATTTTAATTCTTTCACACAAGTACACTGAAATAGTTTTTTTAACAATGCCATTGCCTTGATTAAATGAATTTTAAATACTTTTTTCAGATTTAAAAATTTCAGTTGTTTTTTTTTCATTTTAAAAGTTTACATTAAGTCGGTAAATTTCATTTAATTTCCTTGAAAACATGTGATGTATGTTAAATATTATTAGTTTTCAAAAATTATTATTTATGATTTTTTTGCCACTCTCCATTACCTTCTACAACTTTCTATATTAGATATTGTTTTTTTCTAAAATTCTCCGCTTTCCAACGATATATTATACCTATACCATCTGACTAGTATTTCCAGAAATTCATTTTCGGCCTGGATAAGCATTTTTATTTGTTTTCTCTTTTATTCAATAATCAATTCTTTCAAAAGTTATATTTAGCATTTTTTCCTAAATCATAATAATGAGAGATAGTTAATTATTTAAAATAAACCATATTAAAGGTACTTTAGAGGAAGACACAAATGAACATTGGGCATTTAAGCCTTGTAAAGTGACAACAACGGGAATAAGACCTAAATGATATTAAAGAACACTTAATTATACAATGATACATCGAGTTTAATCAAAATTGTTGGAGTTGTTTTTGAGAAAATTATAAAAATGTGTTTCATCATTGATATAAAGTGGCACTTCCGGTTAGCCAATTTTAAGAAAAAGTTGCTGTCACATCTAAGGCATATACCTATCTTAAATACGTAATATCAGTTTTCTACGACTTTCCGTTTTGAGCTAGACTGCTAACATACAAACACACAGACCCACACACCATTTTTCAGGAATTGGTTATTTGGAATCAGGGTACCCCAAAACGTGTATTTCCGTTGAAAACTCAAATTCAAAAATTTTCACGATCGCAATACTTACTTTTATTATATATTACATATATACGTAAGTGCAAGTAAAAATTGGACTGCTTCTAGATAAAAACCCTTGTAGTTCATGGATTGATTTTATCATTAAGTTCTGATCTTATAACACAAAGCTTGAGGCAAATAATTTGGGTATAGTTGAAACTGTCTAAAAGTAGAAAGACTGCGGTGTAGTAATCTTAATCATTTCAAAAACTTTTAAAAATATGACACCTTTTCTCTATGATTTTGTCTCTCTGGATAGGGTAGTAAAGTAAAGTAAACTTTCTTATTAGTAGAACGGGGATTTCATGCAGTAAAAATTTGCAAAACATGCAATATAAATTTTAAAGCATACTTTAAAGTATTTATTATTATTATAATCTGTCTAATTGATGTACTAACATCAAAATAAATGAAGCAAGGGAAAGCAAATGTAATCATACAAAATTTTTCATTTACATACTTAGTCTCCATCTAGAAACAGGCCAGGTCTGAATCCGTTTAGGGCCCTCGGCTAGAGTCTGAAGTGGGAACCCTTTATTAGGACAATTTATATATAATAAATTTATACAAATTTACAAAAAAATATTTTGAGGGCCAAATATACAACAGTGCTAAATAAATACAAAATAACGATAACACCAATTATTTGACAACAATAAAAAAAGCAAAAAACATTTATGTTGGGAGCTCATCAGGTAGGTTCCAAAAATTTGTAGAAATAAACGAATACAAAACAATTATTTTTGGGGCAAACAGTACGTACAACAGTACGTGATAAGTACAAAACAATGATCTGCGGGACCCACAGGGAGGCCCCAATCATTCTACAGCAATAAAAAGAGTACAAAATATTTAATCTGGGATCTCATCAGAGAGACCACTAAACTTTGCAAAAATAAACGAATGCAAAATCATTATTTTGGGGCCTATTGTGGAGTATATCATTCTATGACAAAAAAAAAAGTAAAAAACATTAATGTCGGGGGTCTATTAGAGGGGCCCCAAACATTTGTGCAAATAAACGAATACGAAACAATTATTTTTGTGGTAATAGAAAAACATAGAATAATGATTTTGGAGGCCACTCCGGGAGGCCCTCAGTAATCCCCAATTAGCCAACCTGACCAGTCTAAAAATGGGTCCATTTTCATAGGTTTCAATGAATTCCTTACTTCATCATTAATATTGGATCATTCAATGATAGTTTGTTTTCTTCAAGTTTTTATAACAACAAAAATAACATACCTAAAATGAGTTTTTATAAAAGCAATGTCTGAAATAATTGAATAAGAATATCCAAAATTTATTTACCAAGTACATTTTCAAAATTTATATAGGTTCTCCTGGATGAAGAATGCCAATTAATAAAAAACAGATATATAAGAGCTAAGTATCAGGGTTTTGTCCACCATAGTATAAAAGAAACTATCATAAATTTTTGTTTTTATTTCATCAATAAAATTTGTAAAACAGGTAGGTAAATCATTTTTCCAGATAATACTTTCTTCAGGAATAATCTGGTTTGTATATTTGGGTAACTAATCATGAAATATATTTAACTTCATACAATGTATGGTTGAAACATAGAAATGATTTAAATTCTGATTAAATAAAGGATGATTTAAATAAGCTGATTTAAAATCTGAAATTAATTATTGTATTGATTATATGATTCTAACCAGAAAAAAAAACATAAATATATATTTATAAATAAAACAAGTTAAAACAAAGTAGGTGGATTCTCTTGTAGCAAGTACAGTGCATAGTGCTATTCTACTATGATCAGATTTTAGTTTTCCACTCAGATAACTTAGGATTAATTTTCTTCGTCAAAGAAACTCGGGGACACATTCAATTTTTTTTTTAATCTTAACTTCATTTGTTTCAATCATTAAACATGTAATTTTGTGTAAACAAATTTAAATCAAGCCAAATAATCCAAAATATACAATATCGTTTTGTGCAATATAAAATTGTGTTTAAAACAACCTATTTGACATGATTTATATTAATAACTAACTTTCACGATTTCCAAGTAGCGCTTTCGAGCTGTAGCCTCCCCCAAAATGGTAAAATATAACCATGTTTTATGGAAAATATATTAAAAAAATATCTCTTAAAGTATTATTGTCCATGTAATTACATTTAAAAGAACTTAAGGAATCACTATAACACCATTTCATATAGGTAGTTAGTTTCTTTCCATTTTTTCCAAAGTAATTATCATCATTTTTATGAAAAAAAAAAAAGCTTTCGGGCTGAAGCCTTTTCCCAAAATTAAATCCTGAATCCACTAGTGGTCTGCACCATGATTACCTCTAAAACAGGTGAACCGATTTGGTTACTTAATTTTTTACTTTTATAGAGTTTTGATCACCTATGCCTTTGGCCCAAATCTGCCTCTCCCTGTACAATAAAATAAAAATGTGTTTTTCTACAGAATGAGCAGCAAAACGGCTTCAACGATTGTTATGCCTTTTAATCAACATTAATGCAGTTAATTCCTGAGAAAATCCAGCAAAAGTATAAAGAAAAGAAAATTATTTGTTAACGTTTTAATTAATATGCAATAGGGCCACCAAAATGTTGTTAAAAAACAACCTCCTACAAATAAATGGATCTTCCTCGAAATTAATATACTTTGTTCTAATTTGTTTACTATCTTAACAATAAGCATTTAACTTTACGCAATTTATAGGAAAATTATAACTTACCCGAGAAAAACCTTCAATAAGTATACGATCTAGAGCCTTACGAAGAGGATCTTTCGGGTATAAAGGTCTCTGAGGATATTTTTCATCAATATAATCAGCAATTATAAGGCTTTCATATATATTAACACCATCAACATAAAGAGCCGGTACTTTCCCCAAAGGAAATTTTTCTAGGTACCATTCTGGTTTATTCTTCAAGTTGATATTTACAACATCATGCCTAAACATAAATAAAAACTAAAACAAAATCAATGAAATCAGAAGAATTGAATTCAGTAAACTTTTTAACAAACATTCTAAGAACCTAAAAAAATATAGCTAAATAAGACAATCAAGATAACTATACTACAATTAATAAAGAAAGTTTAAAATTAAGTAATATTTCACAAGAGAGATAATGAATTTACAGATTTTACTTTTTAATTACAAAGGATGGATAAAATAACCATCTTCAGTACTTATGAACAAGCCCATTAGGAAATTTTATCGTGATATATAAAATTTATATATAATCTTTTGTATAGTGTAAAATGTATATCCGGATCCTTAAAACCACAATTGCTTTCAAAATTATATTCATTTCTTGAAATCATGAGGACTGGGTTTTTGCCACCCGGGGTAAGATTTTATTAGGTGCCCCCCACTTTATTCCAAATCTGCTTATAGCCGATAACTCCAGAGTTAAGTAGAAAATGAAATTATACATAATTTTTTTTTCTCTTCAAACTATAAAAAAAATAAATATTTATATTAAGCTACAGTAATACAATATGATATAAGTACATAAAATTATTTATCTATTGTAGATTAAAATGATTTTTTTATTTGCATATTTTTGTTTTAAAAAGATTCTGACTATATACACTTTCTTGATCAACACTTACCTAAATTGGATCCTTTGTTAATTGGTTTTAAACTTTGTCCCAGTTTAGTGGTGCCCCGCCCCGCCCACACGACGGCCCTGGACAATATTAATATTACATCTATATTCCTTTTCTATCCCTTTTAATACACTTTGAACACACATCAATATGTTTTTTAACATATTAGGTAGATCTTATATTTTAATCAATTTTCACACCAAATATGAAAGGAAAAATAACAGAAGTTACAAAAAAAAAAAGTGTTTGAACTTGTTTAGCTTGACTTTTTTCATTATTGCTCGACTTCACAGCGAAAATGGTCAATGGACAATCAGAAAAATATCCTCACAACTTCACCAACATGTTTCCAACAATGCATAACATGTTTGCAACAATTATAGTGATACTTTAAAATAATTATCACTATAATATTCATCATGAGCACTAATGCTAAAACTTATACAATAATAATTCAGTAATGTATAAGAAGCAACTAATTCAAATATTACAAATGAATCAACATTTAGAAAAATAGCAATGATAAAATTTACATAATTCTTCAATAACCTAAATCTATTCAATATTTAATAATATTTTAAATCTTTACAGATTTAAATTAACTTACGGAATATCTTTTGCAAGTAGGACCAGGTGAATTCTTTGAGCATAAGGGCAAAATCTCATACTGTATAGTCTGATCTTTCCTTCTTGAAGAGGCACATCTTTAGAACCTAAACAAAATTAATGGCAGATACAGAAAGTACCGCAAATTGAAATTAAATAAGCTTGAATTTAACAAATAACATCAAAGCCTTTTTTATTACCTGTGCCTAAATGTTTTACACTCATATTTTTAATGCAAGTCAAAGTTAGTTAATAAAACTTGGAACAGTGAAAACCAATATCGAACACTTCCAGGATTGAGAAGAAAGCCCCTCCAAAACTGTGATAACAAATGGGTCAACTGACAAGTCTATAATGTCAATCGTTGAACGAATCGTAGACCGTTACTTGAAAGAAAACTTCATAGTAATCGATTAATCACTATGGCCAGACCGGTGAAAAATCGGCTCAAATTAATCCATGAGACAATGCAGAATAACATGACTTAAATTAAACAATGTGTTATCCATTTGAAACAATTATCCACTTAAAAGAAAATCTAAAAATATAAGTCTGCCGCCATTAACTAGTAGAATACAAAAAGGTGCGAATCATAACTGTAATCTTCCGACTTTTTTCAGTAACTGGTTTATGCTTCCAAAACCAAACGGACGCTTCCTAGCGAAAATTTTTTTACTTATAACTTTATAGATTATTAAATTCTACGTTTAACGAGTCATTATTAACATAAATTTGACCCAGGATAATATCAGAAATCGACTGTCGGAACACGAGAATGTTTACCGATTTCATCTTAATCAGCCTTATTTTAGTTCAATCCAAAGTTTAATCACCACAAACTAGGCCCTAAATAGTAGCAACAATGCAAATCCCACAAATGCCAACCCAAGAACTGTATGTTCGACTGTGAAATTAGCGTGTTTGTTTCATTAGTTGAGATGTTAATGAGAAAGAAAATAGATGAATAATCCGAGGGTAATGCCTATAAATACCTGGTTAAACAACAAAATAATACCTTTATAACACCTTCACGAGACTCAAATAGGGGATCTCCGCAAGGAACAGAACGCCTTACCGCAATACGGATTTTGGCAAGAGTGCCGTAATAAATGATATATCTATTACACTACACCTGCCATTTAGACTTTAGTGCTTCGACTGAAGTCCACACCTGCAGGAATCTTGTCCACACCTTGTTCATTATTTATTACCTTCTGACGCCTCCAAGGTTAAAGTGTTCCGGTCCTCATTTTGATGTTCCCACAGTCGTCTTCCACCCGTACACGAACTCTTCATGAGGATGGGGACAATCCCATTTTCCTCCGAAGTGTGTTACTAAGTCCTTCAAACACAGTGCAGGTAATTACTACGTGCTCGGCAGTTTCCGGTCGACGTCCTTGCCAAAACTGTGCAGTTTGGCCCGAAAACCCCCATGTCCTGTGAGGTCCAAGGAGGCACCCTACCTCGTATGAGCTTCCTCGAACCTTTACCCTCCTGTCCTGTAGGTAGCTCCTTACAAAGCAATGCAAGTTGCTGGAAATATCGTATCTTTGCAAATGCAGATGATATATCACACCATGACATATTGCTCCTCTCTTTTTTCAATATCTGTGCGTACTCTAAGCAGTGCATCCTACCCTTCGTGGAACAATACTGCTGTGGATGGCTCGTTATCGCTAAAACTGATTAACATAAGGTTCTCCAGGACTTTACTCATAACAGGAAGGAGTCTTATATGACTTTTCTATCCTTATACTTCTATCCTCTAAGAAATATAAAAGAATTTAAGTAGACGATAAAAATACGCGTCAAATGAGCAAAAAAAATTATTTTTTCCAAAGTAATTGTGCGCATTTGCTCCACTGCAAATATTTCGATTTTTTCCAATCGTTTAAAAATTGTTAGAAAACCTTCATTGAAATATCTACATCAATAATTGACAAACAATATTTACCACCGTTGACTTGACCTTTGGAATTAATATTATATATATTACTCCTCTACATTGAATAGAAATTATTTTCTGAAAATGATCGGCTATTATAAAATTTTTGAATTGCGTTTTAAACGGAATTAAAGCTGAAAGCTTACTTATAACAAATCATTAAGACCATTGAAATTACAAAAAGTTTATTTATTAAACAATTTGAGTAATGTCATTTTAATATTTCTAGTTGGAAAAGGTATATCTATACAGACAGTGAGCAAGTTAATTCCAAAGCAGGTGATTGCTATGTTGAAATATAGAATTGTGAATAAAGGTATAAATTTTACCATTACAAATATCCCTAAAATTATTAATAAAGAACTTTGAAACTGGAGTTAATCATTCTGTCAACCGAAAGGTTCATATATGCCTACAGAGATTTGAAAGGGACCAAATCTCCAACAATCAGTTCCGTCACCTAGAAGAATTTATAGCTTCGCCCTTTCTATCTTTCTTTTTGCAGAGAGAATAATGCATTCAATATTAAAATTTCCTATTTTTTATGATATGTTCCAACTTCCCAAACAAAATAAAGCAAATAAAAATTAATTTTTATATTAGTGGTTTTTACAATTTTCTCGAAAACGGCACTAACAATTTTGATTAAACTGGATGAATTAATGTATAACTGAATTTTCTTTAATATCAGATAGGTTTTATCTCCATTGATATCTCATAACAAGAATTACATATCCAATTTTCAAAATTTTCTTCCCCTACTTTTAGTTAGGTTCATTTTGAATAATTAACTATCTCTCATTGTTAGCAGTAATAATAATTTGTGAAAACTAATATTGAATATTTAATAGCTGACCGTTGCATTATACAGGAAGGAGATGGTCCGGGGTTGCGGTCATAAATAGGCTAAATAGTGGTAAAACTATTTTATTGAAAGCCCTGGCTTTGGCTTTCAAGAAAACTAATATTCTTTACCGAATAACGCATGTTTCCTAAGAAATGAAATGAAATTTCCTAACTAAATGTAAACTTTTAAAATTATTTTTAAGTTTATAAAATCCACCGAATCAAGCTCATGACATTATTTTAAAAACTATTTCATTGTACTCATGTAAAAGAAGTGGAGTATAAAAATATTGCATAGATGAATATAACCTTCAATACATTTACTGTGATTTAATATCTCTAGATCTGATTATATATTTAAATTATTATATATCTATCGTTGGTTAATTTCGAAAATTCATCTGGCACAATTTTATGAAATTAAATTAGTTGATAATTCGACGTATTTTCTATCTGCGAAATCACAACAGTGTGACAACTTTAGACCTATCGATGGTAGGCAAGGAAAATCTCGTAAATCCCTTTAGCAAACATTGCACTGGAAAAATAAGTATAAGAAAAATAAATAAATTAATAAATTTCATTAATCAATAATGAAAGTACAATGCATAACCATTTATTGGTTAAATTTACAAATGTACTTTCAAATCTCTCTGAGTAAATATAGCTCAGAAACTGGAGGTAGGTGGTTTATAAAAATCGATGGAGTTACGAGGTTTTTATAGCCTACCGTCGATATTATAAATAGAATTTGTGTAATTTTAATAGCATTATTGAGTCCTTAGTTGTAATGTTTAAGCTGTAGCTCCGTTAAAAATGCAATTCAAAAATTTTAAAATAGCCCAACATGGGCAGAAAATAATTTCTATTCAAAGTAGAGCAGTTAGTGAAAGTTGTAATGTGCCACCAGATTTTTTAAATTGTATTTTCAGATTCTACGCATCATGAAACGTAAAACCTCAAATTTTGAGGGAGGTTAACCTTTTGTTTTACTTGGTCGCTTACAATGGTTCATTATTGAAAATAACAGACCAAAATAAAATTATATCACAAAGCAATGGAAATTTGAGGAAGACTTTGCTTTGTGTCGATTTTTTACTTTAATTTACCTACGTATGTAATTTATAGTAAGGGAAATTATTGTGGTTGCGAGAATTTTGAATCCTACTTTTCACCGGAAATGCCTGTTTTGACGTCCCCTGCGTCCAAATAACCAAGTCTCGCAAAATGGAGGGGGCGGGGTGGCCGAATAGGCTAAAGCGTGTGTAACAGCACCGCTAGTTGCCTGGCAACCGGATAACAGAGATTTGAGATGATATAAAAAGTACGAGTTTGGGTCCCGGTGCCGGAGGGGATTTCAAATTTCCCCGCCCTCACCCCCCGGCCCGGGAAAATCCCGTATAGCCTTAAAGGCGAGGTAGGGAAGAACAAAAAAAAAAGTCGCGAAATGGTCTGTGTGTGTATTTATGTGACGAGTCTAGCTGAAAAACTAAAAGTCGTTCGCAACTGAAATTACGTATTTAAGGTTTGTACATGCCTGCGATGTTACAGCAAATTTTTCGTCAAACAATTCAACTGCTAAACGGAAGAGCAGGTAAGATTGTAAAAAATTGTATAATAATATAATATCATCGATTTTACACATTTTTACAATCTTCTATAAAACGGCTATAACGATTTTGAATTAATTCATTACATCAGTGTAAAAATAAGCGGTTTTTAATATAATGCAAATTTCATTTAATTGATGTTCTAACAGTGTTTAAATGCCTAATTTCTAATTTTTTTCCCTCTAAAGTATCTTTAATGTTTTTCACAATCCAAAATTTTTCAAAAAGAGTTTCACGCGAAACGGTGAGGATCTATTTATATAAATCCAGTAAGATACTATATTTTCGAACGTAAAGTTATTTTTTTTATGAATCTCATGATAAATGTTTCCGATAAAACTTAGAATTTTTCCAAAAGAACCATTTTCCCCCACAATCATTAATAAAATTTGATACAATGTATAGTCGTAAAAGGAAATGAAAAGTGATGCAAACAATTCAACATATATGATGAGCGGGGAAAACATGGTAATTAATCCTTTTAAAAGAAGTTATATCGTCGTTTTCATTTTGACTTTCCCGTACATATATGAAAATACCAATCTAATCTAAGGTTAGTAGGTGAAAGTTGTGTGATACGCACACCGCACCAGATATTTTTTCAAGGGACCTTCTTGTACAAGATATAGAGTTTCAACTTCAGAACTAGTGGTGGTTAGTTTATTTATTTTGAAGAACATAAACATTATAAAATGTTGACATAGGTTCGGTTCATTTTTTATTTAGAACATTTGTAGAATAGCGCATATCCGATAAAATTAATATATATATATATATATATATAAATTTTATCGGATATATATATATATATATATATATATATA